TGCATAGTCAGTTTCTAGTACTCGCCATTCTGGCAATGGAGTTTTGTAAACTTTCTGTCTGGGCTGGCCTCAAACCAAGGTTCTCCAGATCTCAGTCTCCTGAGTAGCTAGGATTACAGATATGCACCTCCAGCCCCTAGGCTCCTCTTTTCCTCCCATGTGTTTCTTCTTTTACTTCCCTCCCACTTTTTTCCTTCCTTTCCTTCCATTGAGGCTAAGGTCTAGAAATGCAAAGGCAATCTGCCACAAATTTTGGTGGAGTCTGGCAGGTAGGCAATTGGACGGGCAAGATAGTGGTGGCAAATTCTCGCTCTCAGCTTTCACCAAGCCTGTTCTCTAATATTTAGCTCTCACCATGTAGCCCAGGCTGGCATGGAACTTGTGATTCTCCTACTTCAACCTCTTGAGTGCTAGGATTAAGTGTATGCCACCATGCCTGGCTAGTCCATTGTAATTCTAAACATACTCGTGTGTGTGTGTGTGTGTGTGTGTGTGTGTGTGTGTGTGTGTGTGTGTGTGTGTGTGTGACTTTCATGTGCTTTATTTTATTTTTTTTGGGGGGGTAATAGGGTTAGAATTCAGGTCCTTGTGCTTGCTAGGCTCTATCACTTGGGCCATGCTTCCAGCCAGGTGTTCATTTTGTCTTTCCACAAGTATTGTAAACTGCCTTAATGGTTTGGTCCACTTTGTGATCTTTTGTTCAGCTCAGCTGTTGAAAACAAAATACCTGTACAAGCTGTCTGGAATTCCTGCTGGACAGCCATGCTTATCACCAGGCTGGCAATCTGCGCCTGCGTAGAGTAGGACAACCTCAGGGGAGTGGCGGTGTCCTTTTGAAGCAAGGTGTGCCCGGGTGTCAGCAGAGTGCATGTTTCTTCTGCGCGCAGCCATGTATTTGCTTTTAATCAGAAGTCACAGCAGCGGAACCGTTGGTTTTGAGAAACACACCCCTGCCCAGAGTAACTGATTAAACGACAACTAGAGTGTAGTAACTTTTTTTTTTCTTTTGGTAGTATTTGGGCTTGAACTCCCTACTAAGCCTCCTGTTCACTGAGGCTCATGGCTGTTGCTCTACTACTTGAGACATACTTCCAGCCCTGCTTTTTGCTTTTTTTCTGCTTGGGTTGGCTTCAAACCTTGATTGTCCAGATCTCAGCCTGCTGAGAAGCTAGGATTATGGGCAAGGGCTACTGCCCCTGTTTGAAATAACCATTTGGGAGAAGCCTTATTATTAGGTTTAATGTTGCAACCCCAGGGAATAATTTAAGAGAGTGTCTCCAGGCTGACTTAGAAAAGTGAACTGAACCAGGAGGCTGTGGCTCAGATCTACAATCCTAATCACTCAGGAGGCTGAGATATGAGGATTACAATTTGAAGCTAGTTCTGGCAGAAAAGTCCATGACAGTTTTTTTTTTGTGTGTCAGTTCTGGGGCTTGAACTCAGGGCCTGGGCTTTATCCCTGAGCTTTTTTGTTCAAGGCTAACACTCTACTACTTTGAGCCACAGCACCACTTCTGGTTTTCTGGTGATTAATTGGAAATAAGAGTCTCATGGCTTTTCCTGCCCTGGCTGGCTTTGAACTGCAATCCTCAGATCTCCTGAATAGCTAGGATAACAGGCATGAGCCACAAACTCCTGGCTTCATGAAACAGCTTGGATAGGTAGCTAGCTAGAAGGATAGAGTGTGTGTGTGTGACAGGTGTGGTTAGTGATAGATGGTTGTATTTGTACTAGTGACAGAATAGCTTCCATTTCCACCACTTATTGACTTTGTTAGGTGCTCCCTTTCCATCTTGAGTGAAAGTACTTGCAGGGTCATCCAAAGTTTACCAATTGCCGCCTGTAACCCTGCCTGCCCAGGCTGGTGGTGTAGGTTGTCTGCAGGCGTTGTGATTAGAGCAAGGCCTTCTGGAGCTGAAGTCTTGGCTTCAGGTGCAGTGGTCTTGCGGCTGGAGTGAAGTAGAGTAGTAATGGAGACTTTAGAGCCACCTGTCTTAGAGGCAGCCTGATGGTTTGCCAAGGGGTACCTTGGGTAGTAGCTCCCCGCTTGAGGCAGCCAGGCACAGGATGGGATCTAACAACTGCTGCTGAAGCCACACAGTGGCTTATTCACAACAGTTTAAATTATTGAAAGGAAGATACAAACTCCATGAGGGATTATATCCATCACATTTTAACATGACATTAACACACATATATATGCATGTATATATTTTGGTTCCAGTTCTGGGGCTTGAACTCAGAGCCTGGGCACTGTCCAAGGCTAGTGCTCTACCACCTGAGGCACAACTCCACTTCTGGCTTTTGGTAAATAACTGGAGAGAAGAGCCTCATGGATTTTCTTGCCTAGGCTTCCTTTTAATCTCAATCCTCAGATCTCAGCCTCCTGAGTGGTTAGGATTACAGGAGTTTAACACCCATTCCCAGTGGTTTTACTTTTTTCATGGGGCTTGAACTCAGGACCTGGGTGCTGTACCTGTGCTTTTGTGCTCAAGGCTAGCACTCTACCATCTGGTTTTCTGGTGGTTATTTAGAGATAAGAGTCTCATGGACTTTCCTGACCAGGCTGGCTTCAAACTGTGATCTTCAGATCTCAGACTCCAGTGTCACTAGGATTATAGGATAGGCATGAGCCACTGGTAGCCTGTAGCTTTTTTTTTTTTGTCGGTTGTGGGGCTTGAACTCTGGGCCTGGGCGCTGTCCCTCAGCTCTTCAGCTCCAGGCTAGTGCTCTACCACTAGAGCCACAGTGCCCCTTCCGGCTTTTTTTTTTTCTTTTTTCTGTTTATGTGGTGCTGAGGAATCGAACCCAGGGCCTCTTGAATGTGAGGAAAGCACTCTACTACTGAGCCACCTTGCCAGCCCAGCTTTAACAATCTTCACAGGGCAGAGCAGAATTTCTTTTCTATTATGCTTAATTTTAGCCTTGCTAAATGCCCTCGAGGGAAATATTGTTGGGTCCTTTTATTTGTCTCTTGTAGAAGGCAGAACCTTGAAAGACCCTAAAGTAAAAAAGAAGGTGCATCAGTAAAAGTAGAATATACAAAAGCCTTGATCAGAACAGAACTTTGTTAAAGAGGGAGAGTGCTGGGAGAACCTCAGGGGAAAGGACTTCAGGAGGAACAATACTTTACAAACAAAAACCTAACCAAACCCTGGAAAATTAGAACTAAATTAATGCTGGATGTTCATAATGTTCTTACTTCAATTGCTTCAGTTATGTCTCCAAGAAGCCTTTAAGAGTAATCACAGCTGTGATTATGTTTACTATGAAGGATTAAAGATCAATTAGGGACAAAGTATTGCAGTAGCTTTTGCTTCCATGATTCACACCAGAGAGGCCAACTTGGGTTCTCTGGGAAGGGAGCTAGGGGGAATGAAACAGAAGGTTCCTATTGCTTTGCCATGTGACTAAAGCAAGACGGCTCTGTGCAATTATCCCTCTATATCTATGGGGGAATGGTTCCTGGATCTCTAAATTGCACAGATGCCACAGTATTTCCTTAAAACCTACTCACAAACTTCTATACACCTTAAACCACCTAGGTTATTTACAATACATGATACTATATAATTCGTTTTACTACTGTATGGGTTAGGGAATAATGACATGCACATGTTCAATATAGCCAATTATTTTTTCTGAACATTTGGATGTGGGAGTAAACTCTCCTTGAGTGCCATTTTATGTGGTCTTCTAGTATCTCTGTCTAAGACAAAAATTTAGGAAATTGTGGGGTGCTGGTGGCTCGGGCCTATACTCCTAGCTACTCAGAAGGCTGAGATATTAGGGTTATAGTTAGAAGCCAGCCCAGACAGAGGGAACTCCGTGAGACTCTTATCCCCAGTTAACCAAAAGGTGGGATATATTTCAAGTGGTAGAGTGTTACCCTTGAGTGAAAAAGCCAAGCAAGAGTGTAGTGAGGGCCAGAGTTCAAGTCCCCAAACTGGCATACATTAGACAAAATGAGTCTTGCATTGTAGAGGGCGACTTAATTACTTTCAAATTTGACAGTTCCGTAATTCTGAAATTTAGGTATCAGGAAAACAATCTAATTGGTATTATATATTATTTGCTTTTTTTTTGGGATCCGCCGGTCGTGGTCCCTGAACTCTTGGCCTGGGCGCTGTCCCTCAGATCTTCAGCTCAAGGCTAGTGCTCTACCACTTGAGCCACAGCGCCACTTCCGGAGTTTTTCTTTTTGCTTTTGTGGTGCTGAGGAATCAAACCCAGGGCCTCAGGCATGCAAGGCAAGCGCTCTACCACTGAGCCACCTTCCCAGCCCCGGTATTATATATTATTTAAATTAAAAAATTATCTTTAAATAGCTGCACAAAGGGGTTTCAATCGAACATGTCAATTTAAGTTCATAATGCATCTTTTTTTTTGGTCGGTGGTGGGGTTTGAACTCTGGGCTTCTGGGCTTGGGCGCTGTCCCTGCTGTCCCTGCGCTCTTCAGCTCAAGGCGAATGCTCTACCGCTTGAGCCACAGCGCCAGCTCCGGTTTTCCGGTGGTTTATTGGAGATGAGTCTCACAGACTTTTCTACCCGGGCTGGCTTTGAACCGTGAACCTCAGATCTCAGCCTCCGGAGTAGCTAGGATTGCAGGCGTGAGCCACCAGCGCCCGGCTACATAATGCAACTTGATCCATGTCATCTCTCCCATCTTTCCTCCTCTGCCCCCTCAGGAAAAAATGTGAGCATGGGCTGTGAATTTCTAACTTGATCCCCAAAGTCGGCCTGAAGCCAAAGCTCGATCCACAGGAGAGAAACATTTCCCCGGCGGTCTCGGGGCTAGGCGCTCTCCCGCCCACACTTCCTTTCCTGCGAGGGCTAAGAGCCACCAATGCTGGGTAGGTATTTGAATCGACCAATAATATCACGGACCTGTTAAAGTTGAGGCGGGACATTTGAATTATCCAGTCACATCAGAGGTGCGGAAGCACCTTAGCCAATCCAAAAGCGTGGAGGCGGAGTCTGAGCCGGGGGGCGGTGAAAGGGGCTGCTGACGAAGATGGCGGCAGAAGCGCTGGGCGAAGGGGAGGTGCCAGCCCGGGACTCCAGCCGGAGGTGAGCCAAGTTCTTGGTCCAGCTGCCTAGGAAACGAGGCTGTGGGCCGGTCGCGCTGCCGCCCTCGCCTTGAGTCACAGAGACCCACGGGGCTGAACTTTGTTCCTTCCTCCCCTCATCGCGCGGGCGGCGGCCGACGGCCGAGGCGCGTTAGTGGGTTCCCGCGGCGTCGGCTGCAAACCCACCAATCGGGGGTGGCGGCGCTGCGGGCCTCGGAGGTCTGCGGGGGGATCTGCGGGGAGGTCACGGGGAGATCTGCGGGGGGATCTGCGGGGAGGCTGGGCCACTGAAGCCCAGCGCTGTTAGCCAGGTCCCCCGCGTCACACAGCGTGCATATCAGTCACCTCTGGTAGGAGCAAGGAACTGGAGGATCGGTTCGTAATGGATGTGCGTCCTGGGCCCGGCTCGAGAACCCCTCCGCCGCCAGCTGTAAGCCGGTCTCGTCTGTGCCCGTGCCCCGGATGCCAACTTCAGAAAAGTCAGGATGGAACGAGACAGCCGGTTCAGAGTGCCCAGTACTGAGCCTTGCGGATGAGCATCACTCCATGTGTGGTTTTCTTTTTCCTACCCCAGCCAAAGAACAGATCCCAAGTCGGGTGCCAGTGGCTCACGCCTGTAGTCCTAGCTGTTCAGGAGGCTGAGGTCGGAGTCCCGGTCGCTGTTGGAAGCCAGCCAGGCCAGGAAAGTCGATGAGACAGACAGACTCCAGTTAACGGGAAGTGGAGCTGTGGCTTAGTGGAGTGCAAATCTACACACACAGAGACACGCACAGAGAATATCCCAGGGCTCTGAAGTCCAGGGAATTATGACTTCGTGTGTGTGTGTGTGTGTGTGTGTGTGTGTGTGTGTGTGTGTGTGTGTCAGTCGTGGAGCATGAACTCGGCCTGAGCACTGTCCCTAAGCTCTTTTGCACAAGGCTAGCACTATACTTGAGCCACAGCTGTACTTCTGGTTTTTAGGTGTCCCCTTGGAGGTATGACTCTTACAGATTTTCCTACCCAGGCTGGCTTTGAACCAGGATACTCACATCTCAGCCTCCTGAGTAGCTAGGATACAAGTGCAAGCCACCGACACCTGGCTAATGCTACTTTTTTTTGTCGGTGCTGGGGTTTGAACTCAGGGCCTGAAGGCCATCTCTGAGTTCTTTCGCTCAGGGCTAGCTCTACCACTTTAAACCACTGTGCAACTTCCGGTTTTCTGGTGGCTAGCTGGAGATAAGAGTCTCATGGTCTTTCTTTTCCTGGGCTGGCTTTGAGCTATGATCTTCAGATTCAGCCTCTTGAGTAGCTAGGATTACAGGTGTGAGCCACTGCCACCCGACTTAATATCACTGTTTTTGAGGAGTAAATAGTTTTAATGTATATAAAATAAAGATCCCTAATTTTTTTTCTTTCAGTATAGGGTCTTACTGTGAATGTAGCCCAGGCTAGTTTTGGGTTCACTATCCTCCAGCATCCTATAGAATGTTCTCCAAATAGGGAATTTTGATTTATGTTCCTAATGTGATTAATTTCTTTCCCAGTGTTCATCAGCTTGGAAGAGAAAATTTAAGAAAGCTGTCAGCAACAAAATTAATGCGACTTCTGTGTGTGTGTGTGTGTGTGTGTGTGTGTGTGTGTGAGAGAGAGAGAGAGAGAGAGAGAGAGAGAGAAGAGAGAGAGAGAGAGAGAGAGGGCTTTATATGTGTCGGTACTAGGGCTTGAACTCAAGACCTTGGACCTTTTGCTTGGCTTTTTTGCTCACAACTGGCTCTCTACCACTTGAGCCAGATCTCTAATCCTAGCATTTTTCTTTTTTTGTTTTTGTTTTTGGTCGGTCGTGCAGCTTGAACTCCAGGCCTGGGCGCTGTCCCTCAGCTCTTCAGCTCAAGGCTAGCGCTCTACCACTTGAGCCACAGCACCATTTCTGGCTTTTTCTGCTTATGTGGTGCTGAGGAATCGAACCCAGGACCTCATGCATGTAAGGCAAGCACTCTACCACTGAGCCACCTTCCCAACCCCCCTAGCATTTTTCTGGCTAATTGGAACCATTATTCTTAGATCTGAGCCTCCCAAGTAGCCATCATTAAAAACAGTAGCTACCAATGCCTCACAATACAAATTAGTTTGACACCAAAAGAATAGTAGTTACCAAGTAAATGGCCAATAAATGGGCATTATTTATACTCTCAGAAGTATAATAATTTCCCTGTTTGAGAATATTACATTGTTACTCTATAAAGCAAAATCTTAGGTTTCCAATAATATTTAGATAAGCTGTCAAGAATTCTTTCACCTATATTTTGCAAATTTATTTCACGTTGCTAGAGTACCTTGAAATTATTTTAAGTTGAGAGCAACCATAGGGAAGTAATATACTTAGCAGACTGTTGGAATCTAAATTCAAGATAGGTCCGTCTTACCAAAACCTAAGACAGTGCTTCCTAAGGGCATACCTTAGAGTGTAAATGTTTTAAGATATTTATCCAAGAAATTAGATACTGTTCTCTGAAGTCTCGTAGTACAACTTATCAACTTTGGACTCTTAACTAGTATTTGAAACAAGCTGCCAGCCTGGATATATGGGGCCTCTTTTGTTCTTCCTATGTATGGTGTTCATGATGTCAATTTAAATTTGATTTTTAGAGAGAAGAATATAGCAGTCTTTTATTTGATACTTGTATATATTCTTTAGCTAATGTAATAGTTCCCTGAAAAGTAATGTATTTAAAGCCATATTTTAGAGCCTTTTAGAACTGAAAAGCACATAAGAGAGTGGATACTTCTCTAAGTTAGTGCTAAGTTAGGCAGACAACTTGAATGTAGCGCATATTTTGATAGATGCTGTCAAGGTGTGGTACTTGGAGAACAAATCAAAGTTAAGCAATTCACCAAGGAGGAAATATTTAGTTTTGTGGGGATACAATTTGGCCAATAGTCAGTCAAGAGATACATCTGCAGGATGGACGATTTTTTCACTGTCTTGAATTTTGCAGATTCATGGGTTCACCATGTCTTGAATGCACTTGCATTTCTTTTTCCTTTCTTTTTTTTTTTTTTTTTCATTGATTTTTCAGCGGTGGCAACTGTTTCTTGTCCTTTTACCAAGCAAATGGCTTTACGTGTAGAGTACCCTCTAGTGGTAAAAGTAATAATTGTAGACTATAAATAGGTCATAAAAATTATTCTTAGCTGGGCGCCTGAATGCTTCATACCTGTAATCCTAGCTACTTAGGAGGTTGGGATCTGAGGATCATGGTTCGAAGCCAGCCTAGGGTAGGAAAGTCCGTAAGACTCTGATCTCCAATTAATTACCAGAAAAGCCAAATGTGGAGCTGTGACTTAAGTGGTAGAATGCTAGCCTTGAGTAAGAATGCTCCAGCACAGCACTAAGGCCCTGAGTTAAATCTTTATCGCCGATGTCCTCATCCTCATGCCCGTCCCCCTCCCCCCCTCCTCTCCTCCTCCTCCTCCTCCTTCTTTCTGATCCTTGGGCTTGAACTCAGAGGCTGGACACTGTCCTTGAGCTTCTCTGTGCTCAAGGCAAGCACTCTACCACTTGAGCCACGGTGCCACTTCCAGCTTTTTCTGTGTATGTGGTGCTGAGGATTCAAACCCAGGACTTTATGCATGCTAGGCAAGCACTCTACCACTAAGCCAATTCCCAGCCCTCCTTATTCTTTTTGAGAGGTCTTGTCTCTGTGATTTTTTTTTTTTTGGTGCTAAATCCCTGGAGTCCTTCCTATCTCTGTTACTTTGGGGCATGCTCTATATCTGGCTACTTAGTCTGACAATATCTATGTTTGTTGTTGTTGTTGTTGTGGTATAAGGAATTCAACCCAGTACCTTAGGTATGTCAGGCACAAGTGGTCTATGACTGAGCCACATCTCCATCAGTACAAAAACTTTCATAATACTTTTTTTTTGTCAGTCGTGGGGCCTGAACTCTGGGCCTTTGTTCAAGGCTAGTGCTCTACCACTTGAGCCATACCTCCACTTCGGCTTTTTGGTACTTCCTTGGAGATAAGAGTCTCATGGACTTTTCTGCCCCATCTGGCTTTGAGCTACAATCTTTGTATTTCAGCTCCTGAGTAGCTAGGATTATAGGTATGAACCACTGACACCTGGACTAACTTACCAAAGTTAACACAAGAGGAAATAGAATGTGATAGTCCTATGACACAAAATAAATATGTAATGAGGAAAAAAAAATTCACAAAGAAAACTAGGTCTAGGTGGCTTCTGTGGATACTCCAAACATTTAAAAAAGTAATAAAACCAATCACCAAAGTAAAAATAGAATTAACATAAATACTAATAGTTTTCTAATCTGTCTTGTTTTTTACTAAGGTTTTAGAGTTATTTGTTTATTTTGAGTGAGTAGTATGTTCATATGAATGAAAGTGTAGGGAGGAGGATTGGATGGTAGTTTAGTAGTAGGCCTCTTGCCTGAATTATGTGAAGCTCTGAGTTTGATCCAGGACTGAAAAACAAGAAGAAAAACAAGTCCCCTAAAATATACAGTGAAAAAGAAAAAGCTCTTTTTTCCTCCTGTTTTTTTTTTCATTCAGTTCCCTCTTCAGAAGCATGTGACTTCATTTTTTGAAAATTTTGTTTATAATGTCATTTGTTATATGGAAATTTAAGATTGTGTGTGTGTGTGTGTGTGTGTGTGTGTGTGTGTGTTTATGTATGTATGTATGTATGTGTGTACTGGGGTTTGAACTCAGGGCCTAGGAAGTGCCCTTGGATATTTTTTTTTCCTCAAGATGAATGCTCTACCACTTGATTCACAGATACTTCTGGCTTTTAAGGTAAGAGTTTTATAGACTTTCCTGACTGGGCTGGCTTTGAACTGTGATGCTCAGATCTCAGCCTCCTGAGTAGCTAGGGATTATAGGCTTGAACCATTGGTGCCCAGCTTAAAAAAATATTTTAATGTAGATAAATTTATCAACTTTGTTAATTGGGTTTTTTTTGGTCGGTCATGGGGCTTGAACTCTAGGCCTGGGTGCTGTTCCT